CACTGTTGTAACGCTATTTTAATTTGGACTACTTTAGGCTTTCTGCTCTGAACTAGTGTCTCACTTACGCTAGCACTTATTACTTCTAACTTATGTATGCTAGTTTTTATTTATTCATACTTTTACTTTATTATTTTATTAGCTTCTGCACTGTGCACATGGTTACGTCACCTTTGCGTGACGGCCAGCACGCCCTGACCTCGGTCGGGGTGTGTCATGACATTTTTCTGGCCAACCTAAATTAATGTATTTATATTCTTCTTCATGTGTTCTTTTATAAATACACACATATACTCTTCTAAATCACTACTGGTGCGACTTGAATCTTCAAAATCAGAATATATCATTATCACTTATGTCATCTAAACTGTATATTGACTGTATGTCCTCATCCTCTTCTAACTTAAACAACTCCATTAAATGTAGTTTTTCTCTCGGCTGTTTACCTAATTTTGGACATTTAGGTCTAATGTGTTTAGCTTCTCCACATGAATATTACAGCTACTCTTATCCTTTGGTACTTTATATTTTCTAATCCAAGGTCTACTACTCTTTTTCCTAAATCGTTTTGGAATATATTTTTTCTTCCTATATGTTCTTGAAGGTCTTATGCCGAAATTCTTATGCTGTTTGTATGGTTTGTATAATTTATATTTCTTTTTGTATGTTTTCTTATGCCTATTCTTCTTATGACAACCATACTGTTGTGGTAAATCTATATTTTTACAACTCAAGTAAAATTGTTTCCTAATTTGTCTCTTAACTTTTATTTGACTACACTCTTGTCTAAGTATATCATATATATGTTGAATTCTAAGTCCTATTGCAATATCATTTTTCTCTGGATGCTTTTTTCATTCATTCCAAATCTTTTCACCTATTGGTTCTTTTATTTTTGTCATATAAGTATCTAATAAATTAATATCACTAATTCTACCTGTTCTTCCTAAATATTTAAAGAAATCTGTGGTATATTCAGCTATATATTGTAAATCACAAATTTGTAATTGTTCTAAATTTCTAATTGTTCTTTTTTGTTCTTGTTCACTTCTATCATCTAACCTATTATGATCTAAAAATTCTTGTTTAATCAAAGTAACAAAACCATCAATGTTAAAATGTGTTTTGGCTGTCTGATGTTGTTCTAGATTTTGGACTTTCCACATCTGGAAATAGTCAAAAACTAAACCATCTAAGGTATACTTAAAATAATCTAACATATTTTGTGAATTACTAAAATCTAACATTAATGCTGCATGTACGCAACATTTTTTCTATCTCTCAATCGTTCTTTCCCAATCTTGTGGATCTCACTATCTATGTTTAATATATTACCTGCTATATTAATTTGTTCTAAACCTCTCAAATATGGAATCATATTTTTTCTAGGTTTTATTATGCTTTCTTCTATGTGGTCTATTTGTGCTCCTTCATTATAGTGTTCATTTGTTGGTTTCAAAAATTGTTGATCAGTTCTACTTGCGTGTCCTAGATTTGGATTTTCTACTCCTGATGTACTACTTTCTTCTGCTGAATTACATTCTACTTTGCATTTTGCTCTTAATTCTAATAAATTATTATATTCTTTTGATCCTAAAATATTTTCTACTCCTATTTCTAAAATTAAAACTTTCATCTTTTCATCTGAAATTCTATGTAGTCCTAAATCATATGTATTATATTTTTCTAATTACTCTTCTTCATTTAAATTATCAATATCTTATATAAGTTTATGTATAATATGATCGAAATTTTGCTCAACTAAATTAATATCTAAATTATCAAAAGTCATATGAATACTCTCATTTTCGATCTCGCTTTCATTCTCTTCTATTTTTTCTAGTTGCTTGTAATTACTAAACCTAATTGTTGCTTGACCTGTACTAGTTTCATATATTTGTACTTTGTCTAGTTGTCTATTTTTTGCTACTTCTAAATTAGGTAATGCCCACTGAGTTCATTCTAAAAAGCTATTATCTACTGGTTTTGCTTCTATCATATTTACATGTTTACTACCAAATGTTTGAACTAAATTTTGAAATTCTAAATTAAACTTATGATTATATCTATCAGACACTTTACTAATATACATTAAACTAATACATAAATTTTTCTACTTTCCTTTCATATTGTAATTTTTTGTTCTTATGCTCACTTTAATATATTTACTAAATTCATATTGTCATAACATAATTTAGAATACAATCTATAACTGCTAAGTTTGAACTTAAGTCTACTTCAGCTGTTGCTATTGCTGCTTGCTGGTGATTATCCCATCTATCATCATATATGTATACTAAAGTCTTTGTGCCTATTTGTGCTCTGGTCAATCCTGCTATTCCAATTAATATTGTTCCTATATGAATTTAACTAAATTGTGATTTTCTCAAATGGGTAACTGCTTTTTTACTAATTAAATTAAGTGTAACTTCTTTATCGATACAGCTAACTTCATGTTGACTGATGCTACTTACAATTCTACTTCTGTTTTCAAATAAACCTAATTGATACAAATTATATTTGTTTTTCTGTGTTCTCTCAAAACCTCTTCTAATAAATTCTTGTGCTTCTTCTTCATTTGGATAAATATCTTCAGCTCTAACTACTTCTTTTCCTTTTCTCCTAAAAGGTTTCATTTTTTATTATCAAAATGATTTAGCTTAGGTCTTGTATTATTATTTGCACTTAAAGTTAAATTTTCTAATTTATCTAGCAAAGATGGTGGAAGTGTTGAAGATGCGTTATGTAAAACTTGATTTATTTCTGCTACTTGTTCTTCACCTTGATCTAATTTTTCAGCCAAACTTAAAACTAATTGAATAATTAATTATTTTGCCTAATGGGAATATTACTACTGGCTACTTGTGTTGAAAAATTTGTTAAACCTTCTTTGTATAGCTTACTAATTTCTTTCAAAGCTTAGATATATTTTCTGCTAGTTCTAGAATCAGTCATTAAACTAATAATTTATTTATTTTATTATGCAACTTATCTACTTGTTTACTTCACTCTTTTTGCACTAATTGAGTTTTTTGGACTTCTAATTTTAACTGCTCAACTACTTTTAATGATCTAAGTTCTACTTGCTTAGGCTTACTATCTATGAGGTCAACAAGCTCTTTTATCTCTCTTTTGCTAGGAAACTTTTGAATATTTTTATTATTATCTTCTAACTGAAATGTAATATAGTCTAAATTTTGTCAAATTATTTTTATGGAATTTTTCTGAAAATATTCTAACAACTGGTTTAACAAATGATTATGCTTATTATTTTCTAATTTTATATTTTCTGCTTGACTAATAATAAGATCTACAATACTATTGGCTTGTGGATTTTCTTCACTATACAAAATATGATTATGCTTTATCGATGGAAAATAACAAACTAAACTATTTTGGTCTAAGGTTATTTTTCTTTTTTAAAGTTCACTAATTCTAAATTAAGGTAATCTATCATAAACTATAGTCTACCTTTTTCTAAAGTTACTGCTAATTGGTTTTTTAGAAACTCTCTTTCTTCTCTCAAGGTCTCTAAAGTTTGATCTGTTACTCTTTGTGCTTCTAAAACTTTATGCTGCACTTCTGTGTTATTATATTTACGAATAAATGAAGGATGTTCAAGATAACCAAGATAAAACTTTTGCTTCTTTAAAGTCCTGCTAATTCTTTTGGATATGTATGCTAATCTTCTCTTTATGCTAGTTATAGTGAGGTGTCTGGAATAATAAATACCTGGTTGTTGTGGTTGACAATGTCTACAAGGACAATAATATCTGTTGTTCATACAAAAGAAACAAGTATGATATCAGTTGTATCAACGAGACTTCCGTCCTCAATGTACTTTACTATCATAATTATATTATTAAAATGTTAAACTTGGCTCTAATACTAGATTCGGAAAGCATGACCCGGTTAAATAGTCGGATGACCATTATAACAATTAGACATAAAACCTTGCACATGGAACTCGACATGTTTCAACATGACTGCCACTCACAGTACAAGTATAAGGCCTTAAAGGCTGAACTCAAAAGTACGAAGAAATCAGAGGTACTCTGGTTAATGTCCTGTTATTTTTATGGCAAGCATTCAATTATAACAGAGTGCTCGAACAAAGTATGATCGTCAGTTTAGCAGGTTAATAATACAATTACAATACTGTTTCCCTGTTTTGGACTAGAAGTCTAAATAAACAAACACAATAAAAAAAAAAAAAAAAAGGAAAACTTACTTAAGACTTGAAGATTGCTTGAATATGTACACTTGAACTTTTATTGACATATAGAATGTTTACAAAGATAATTGTTTACAAGAAAGTGTCTACAAGGAAGTGTTTACAAGGATGCTATGAAGGCTACAAATGCTTGAAGATAATGTGTGTATATGGTGAGAGTTGAGAGGTGGTTGTTACAATGAAAGGAATTTCTCCTTATATACACTGAATGAGGATACTAATATACAAAATTCTAATTGAATGGTGTGTCTTATCTTCCCTTTTTTTTTTTTTTTTGGCACTGTTTTTTGTTCTGACGGGATCTTGTTTTGTCTTTCTTTTGCTTTGATAAAAGCCATGTGAACCCATGTGAATCCTCCTGCATGGTTTTTTCTTCTGAAGCCCTCCTTTGTCACCTTTCTTATGCCCAGTTTGGGTATTATCAAAAAATTTTGTCCTTATAATTAAAATGCAAGCTTTTTGGATGTTTTGGTTAATTTTCCCTTGATTTAATACACGTGTTAAAAGTTTCAATTTCCCTTGAATTCTTTTTCATAGCTCAATTAAGAAATACATAAGATTTACTAATTTTTCTTGTGAATGTTGCATTTTGCTGACATATATGCTCCTAAAAGTTGGTTTGCAAGTGATGAAATTAACTGAAAGTTTAGAGGGACTCAACCAAAACGAAAATTCGTAGGACAAAGTCGAACAAGGTACAAAGTTCGGGAAATTGCTAAGTTTTTCCTTGAAATAATAACACCAAGCTATGTAATCAAACATCCAATGAAAAACTACAAAAGAAGAATCATAAATTCTGATTTCGAGCTGAACGTTTCGCTACATATGCAAGATTTCACATCACCTCAAAGTAACTAGTACACGGTAATTACCATATTCAAGAACACCACACAGCTCTGCGATAGACTTTAACGAACACAAACAAATGTACATCTGCACAAGTTTTATCAATTCTTGCAGTACTAAAGGAGCTAAATGCTCTTGAAACTTGACCCAAAGTTGTGCAATACCTAGTACGCATCTACGGTAGACATATTCTCATCTATCGCAGTTCATATGATGAAAAGCTGAAACCTGATCGTCCCTCGTTGGTAGATTTCAGCTCAAGCTTCTGAAAAGGGCTGCAAGTTAGTTCAAGTAACGTTTATCAGTCACTTGGTTGCAATGTGTTCAGAAAATTAAATCACAGTGCATAATAAGGGAAGTGGCAATCTACTTTGTAAGCATTTACACATCCCATTATAAAGGAAGGAAATACTCTGGCCAGTATACCTGCTGTTAGGATCATAATAGAAGCCATTAATGGAGCCATCGCTACACGAGAAACAGACATAGTAAAAGCCAGCTATTGTTAGCCCACAGTCTGTGCCAACATTCACAAAATATTGCTCTTTCCATCTCTGCACCAACACAATGTCAAAGAACTCAACAACGTTGCATCTGACGAATAAGTAGTTATTATACAATGAATAAGAGAACAATTAGATCAGTTACCATGAATATGTACGGATAATTACTCAGATCTAATGATTTGCCACCATCAACTTCCACTTGGCTCTGTAAACAATAGAATTAATTAGAAGATAATAGAAGTTTGCCATATGATTGAGAAGATTAAGACTCCATACCAGCAGAGCAGAAAAAGAAGGAAACTTGGTCCAGTGCCTTATATCATCGTCTGGCCTGTAAAGAGTTAAACAAATTAGCACTAGATCGTTATTCCACAACCCACAACCATGATACGATAATTAGGGTCAACATAGAGGTTAAAAGAATAAAAGAAACATACGTTGCCTCCCATTTTCCAGTGAAGAAAGTATAATTCTTGGTGTCAACAATCTCTCCTTCCCAAAAGGTAACTACCTAACATACATGTAGAAAAACAAACTAAATGAAGGTTACAAAAATATCAGAATATGGGAGTTGGGGTGGTGCGGGGGGGTGGGTGTGGTTGTTTTAATACAATAACTAGATTTCCATATCCACAAAAAAGTAGATAAGGTGTCACATCTAACGTACACGTCTTGCATGAAAGTGGCAGACTAGAATCAGCCAACTTTATAGATCGTATGAGACACACGGACACACAATAAGCAGTGAATATCATACTGATATCTTACGAATTGAAGATTGAAAATTAGGCAAATCAAGTTCGTAGCTGCTGCACCCAATGAATCCCAAAGAATGCTTGATTTAAGATTGAACCATATGAGGTTCGCCATCTAGATGTGGAACACAGACAACAACAGCAGTACAAAAACCGAAGGTACCAAAAAGGGGTATGAAACTCCTTAAGTAAAGAGCAGTCCCGATAAAAACCTCAGTCGTTCGTTCACTCTTTTGTTGTTCTTAATTCATTTCAGGGAAATATTTATTCTCAATACCAATCCTCAAACAAACAAAAATTCATGGTGACAGATGAACAACAGACACAAAAGAAGAAACTCCTTACCGGTGTGTCTGCCATAGGAACATTAAGAGCTTCCATGGTTCCACATAGATAACCATGTTCAAGGTCACACCCCTGTATCCGAACATTCACTCTCCACGCTTCATCTTTCTGCATACTAGAAACATTCTGCGTACCGGAGAAGGCCTGCCATAGAATTATGAACTTAATTCTACAATGCACACACATTTATACTTCCGAAATCGGTGCTTATGCTCAAAAAGTCAATATTAATTAGAAATTCTCTATAATCTAACCAATTTCAAGAAAAAAAGGAACGAAATTTAAGAACTACAAAGGCACAGGAGCAGAGATAAAACCTGTCCAACGCTTAAAAGTGTGCAGGCTGGAGGAGCTGTCTGTCCACCATTTGAACCTGCACATAGATACAAATACTAACATATACATAAACACATATATACATATATGTGAACGATTGGAAGAAAAATTACAGAAAAAGGTAGTGTCCTTGAGGATTATATCCTACAACATGAATCGAACAGTGCAGATTTCGGCAAAATCCCTAACTCTACTAAATGGGGAAACCGCTGTTTGCGGCGGCGTTCGGTATCGAGAAAGAGAGATGGGCGGAGAAGTACCTGAGAGTTGAGAAGGCGCGGAGGCTTCCGCCACTCTCACCGGCATTTCTTTGATTGGTTCAATCGGAAAGGAGTAAGCGAGTCTGATGCTACCGCCAATTCAACACACCATCCAGAGTCCGCGCCTGTCTAATGAACCCGACCCGCAACTGCCTCCAAAGTAGTTCCTCTCCTTTTCCTTCATTTTCTTTCTAAGTATTATTTATTTTCATAGGTTGGAATATTGTAAATGACGAGTTCGAAACTAATTTATTTCTAACAGTTTATTGTAAACATATCTTTTCATGAAAAAAAAAAATGTCATGTCTAATAAAGGGCTATAGGTCACTTTTAATCTAAAATGTGCAAATGTTGTCTCCAATAAGAAAATCATTTCCTAGTTAACAAGGCTAACTACAGGTAGTCTCGAGTCGTCTACATTCTTATAACAGAACATCTTGTGGAGCCTCCATGGCCTCTCTCTACAATAAACTATAGTTGTGCACATGTGCTCCATTATTACTTTCGCTACAAACGTACTTCGATTTTTACGTTTACATACTTTGATTTAGATTTTTGAGGTTTCCGAATTGTATTTTTATAGAAACTTAGTGTATAACCAATACACGTTTAATGAATTTGTTTCTGATAGGTACAACGAATGAATTTGCAAGGAGTGAGCATCGTTCTTATTCGTGTTTACCGAGTTGGGATAGAAGGCATGCATGCCATTTGAGTGAAATTTGTAAGCCTCAAAAGATCATTCGATGTCACTCCTGCAATACCATCTAGCTAAAGAAAAAAGGACGATGATAGTCACCTTTCGCAGATAAAAGAGGAGACGCAGAGTTGGAACAATATGCAGTATGCACACAGAAGTCGCTAGAGATTCCGGTTTAGTTGAAGTCCTTCACCTCACCTTCTTCTCCAGTCTAACGTGGTGATATCGAGCGACGGACCAACTATCGTTCACATACACACAGATTGTAATTTCAAACACATCGGAACACGTTAGAGATAATCACATGTTTGACGAAGACAGAGAGAACCCGATGAACATACCAATGAGTAAATATATCATAAATATAAGTTACGTTGACAAGATAAAAAGCATTTAGTACTCGAGAATGCTATGTGCTTGGTGTCAGCGGCCACCTGAGAGGCGTGATGACTCTGAAGCATATGAATGCGACAACCCCGTGCCCATTGCAAATTCATCGAAACTTTCTTTGTGAGCAAACGATAAGCCGCTGGCAGAAACACCAAGGGGTGACAGCTCCGGCAAAAGAATATGGTCTCCCTCCAAATACTGCACAACTTGGCGCATGCTTGGCCTAGCTGCAGGCTCTGACTGAGAGCATAACAGCCCGAGCTTCAATACCAACTCCACCTCCTCTGCTACAAATTCGGTTCCCAAGTTTGGATCTTTTGCCTCAAGAATGTTACTTCTTTTCCAACAACAAAGCACCCAGTCAGCTAAAATGACAACCTCTGAATCATGCGTCTCGATTGGCTTCCTTCCACAGGCAACTTCAAGCAAAAATACCCCAAAAGAAAACACATCAGTGCTCGTTGTGGCCCGGCCTGATCTTGTGTGCTCAGGAGCTAGATACCCAAATGTTCCAGCTATATGAGTAGTTTGAGGGTCTGCGCCATGGTCATGTAGTCTTGCAAGCCCAAAATCTCCTAGCTTTCCGTTCCATTCTCCATCAAGTAATACATTACTCGCCTTCACATCTCTGTGAATCACAACCTGATCCCATTCTTCATGGAGATAAAGCAACCCTGATGCTACGCCTTTGATGACCCTAAATCTCTGGGCTCCAATTGAGAGTGACCGTTGGTTGGCCATAGAGGTACTTGTCGAGGCTTCCATTAGGCATGTACTCATACACCAACAGTAGCTCTCCTTCTCTTCTGCAGTAGCCCAACAAAGGAACTAGGTTTCGGTGACGAAGTCTTCCATTGCTAACAATTTCTGCCACGAACTCCTTCATCCCCTGCCTTGACTCGTGTGACTCCCTCTTCACAGCAATCTCAGCTTTTGAGTTGGGTAATATGCCTTTATAGACCTTACCAAATCCACCCTTCCCCAAAAGCTCCTTCTCCCGAAACCCTTTTGTGGCAATATATAACTCTTTGTATTTAAACCTCTGAGGTCCGTACTCAAGCTCCCAGTCTTCAAGCAGTTCCGCAAACTTCTTTCTTCTTATGGCAAAGTGTACACCATAAAGAAGTGCTAACAAAGCCGAACTCCCAGTTATTACAGGCAGAGCAATGGTCAAATGTTTAGATCTTTTTTTTGGTCCTAGCGGAGGCAGCTTGGGAAGCTTTGAGAGAACAATTTCTTCAGCCTGGCCATTCAACTTGAAGCTCCACCCCAAAACATACGCACATGCAGTAAACTTGCTAGTGGACGCGGAGAAGCCTATGTACATGATTTCGTTAAGGATTGGGGAAAGGTCACGCGTCAAAGACAAAAGTGGAATGTAGGGCTTACCATTACTAACTGGAGACATAGAGACATTTATTTGCTTCTTGCTACCATCATAGTCCACCCATACTTGCACGGGTTGGCCATTCGTAATCACTCTTTCACCAACATAATATCCTGCTGGAGCAGATACCTCAGAAACCATACCATTAATATCAATCCCGACATGGTTGTCATTGATGTCTTTGAACTCTGTGTTCTTGAAAGTGTCAAGCTCTACAGCAAAAACATGATTGGTAGGACTGCCATCGTTTGTCCTGTTGAAAAGGCCTAGGTACTGGCTTGAAGAAGCTCCGGGCAGCCCTCTGGTCGGAGCAATGATAAAGGCTATTCCATGGTCACGGAGATCAGGATATCTCATAGCAAAGACGAAGGTGACAGAGAAGGAGAAAACTGTGCCACCAGATGAGTTCTTGAAAGTTACTGGGTTGGGATAGAAGGCATGACCCATCTTGAAGGCGGTCTCATTTGTAAGCTTCAAAAGGCCATTGGATGTCACTTCTGCTATGCCGTCTAGGCGAAGATTCGCAGACCGGAAACCATGGTAGGTGAAACTGAGATCTTCAGCAACTGCTAGGCTAACTAGTACAAATAATATTACAAGCTTGAAACACATTAGTACTACTACCATTGTGCTTGCAATGGATTTGGAGAATGGGAGAAAGACATGGAGAGTGGGGCTGATGAAATAAGACTTTTTAATCGATCGAGTTGTCGAAATTTTCCTGGCAATCGTTTGAGTTGTGATTGCACACCTTGAAGATCACATTGACTTAATCAAGGTGCTTTGACAGTTGTATTTTCTCTCATGTATTATTTATCAACTAATACACACCTCGTGTTTTCTTATAAAATTGTAATCAATTTGAAACATTCAACTTTTAAAACATTTGCGGTGGTTACATGACTAATGACATTGAATTATGGATAAATACGTTTCTGTTCATGGTGTTTAATATCGTTCCTAATCTCGGTCCATTTCCAATGTCTTTCCTAAAATGTACAAGTAAGCTCCGTGCATGTTGAGATGAAAACGTGTTTAAACATCACTCGGTTCCTCTCGAATTCCAGGACGATTAGAAGCATTTTTAAGCACAGCGACCAAATTGGCGAAAAATGTAACATAGCGAGCAAAATAAAACTTTATGCAAAACAATGACCTAAACGGTATTTTACCACTTTGATTAAGGTACTTACTGAGATACTAGCCTCTTCGCGCGTGTGTGAGGTTTTGTTTATATCACGGAACTTTGCGAGTTTTCAAGATTTTACAATTTATTTTTGTATGTCTTAAGTCAATAGACTTTTTATATTGTGAAGAATATTAAATTTGCTATTTCAGTCCTCTCTTCTTTTACACTCTTTTCTCAATTCATGAGTCTGCAAGTTTCTTTTTATATAAGAAAACACGTGTTTGAATAAAGTTCTAGAAGTGCAACAACAACATTAACAATCCTTCGAATAAAATCTACATGAATCAAATCGAATCATGTCAACTATTGGTTAACATTTTATTAAAAGATGGTTGACAGACTCACCTGCAGCATTCTCTCAACGCAAGCTTTCCGGCAATGGTTCTCGTTGTCTGATAACTGCGGCTTTCAGGTTGTCCTGGAGACACAGCACATTCATCTGCAATTCTGCACTGCACACAAAGACACTAAACAACATTTCCAGTGACATTGTATTTAACACAGTACTATAACAACAACCACCAACGGATCGTTGCTATATACGACACTGCTCACATGAAACATCTCAACCATGTCAAAGGATAAAAAACCATATATTGAAAGAACTGAAAATGTTAATGTTAAGAGTCTTAGAAAGGTTATAAACATCAGATCGAGATGAAATAGAGTGAACGAAAATCACTACACACACATGGTCTTCTCCATTAAAATTTAAAGACAACATTAATGAACACGAGTGAACAAGAACAATGACAGATGAGAGTACGACTATAATTGGATCCTTCTACACCGAGGAAACATTTGGTATGAGTGCAATGCAGACAGAATAGAAAAGACCAAAAGAACAAACTTGCTTAGCGTATTATTGGCCTTGAAATTATTGAAGTTTACAAGAATCGTAAGTACTAGGAGTACCCATCAAAGATGCTTACGCTATGGATACCAGTTACAAAGATGTTCCTAATTGCTTTTAGATTCAGCGACCGCAGGAGAGGAATGATGAATCTGGAACATACGATGACACTGAAGACCCTGGGGCCATTGTATATTCATCAAAACCTTCATTCTGAGAAATGCCTAAGCCACGTGAGGAGAGACCAAGAAGTGAAAACTCTGCAGGCAAAGGAACATTATCCTCCAAATGCTGCACAACTTGGCGCATCCTTGGCCTCATCGAAGGCTCTGATTGGCAGCAAAACAGCCCAAGCTTCAACACCAACTCCACCTCCTCTGCTACAAAATCATTACCTAATTTTGGATCTTTCGCCTCAAGAATATTACGTCCTTTCCAACAAGAAAACACCCAATCAACCAAAATCACATTCTCGGAGCCGTGATTTTCTATTGGCCTTCTTCCACAGGCAACTTCCAGCAAACATACACCGAAAGCAAACACATCACTACTCGTTGTCGCCCGACATGATCTTGTATACTCTGGAGCTAGATACCCAAATGTTCCAGCTATATGAGTAGTTTGAGGGTCTGCGCCATGGTCA